CTTTATTGGTTTATGTGTAGAATATTTTATAGAATGAATATGTGGTGGAGATTGTTTACTGTAGAAAACAATTTTTGGGAAAATGGTAGACAAACAGGGGCTTAATTTTCAAGAAGTAGATATCTTTACAATTGTACAATTTCAAGATTAAGTGGGGAAAATTGGTTATAACTAATCAAATTATATAAGATATATTAGTGAAAAAAATAAAACAAAATATTCTCAGTAAGGAAATGAGGCTATGTAATTGGGATAAGAAAATAAATAAAGTCAGTCTATATAAATGAGATGGAGGTAGTATTAATCTCCATTGAGCAAATTATTTGCGATTCCATAAAAGATTTAAGTTGTCAAGAATGTCTTCGATGTAGTCTACTAAATCAGGATACGATGATAGTCTAAAGAAATCATATTATTACATACCAATATTTTACTCTCTTTTTTCCCGAACAGTGGACTTGTCGGGTTTTATACTTGAGCATCCTCTTTTCCGTCATATGTCTCTTCTGCTTCCCCTCTCATCCGCAGCTCCGTCTTGTCCTCCTGGGTTTCAAAGGCTACTGATGTCAATTCATCTAAGCAAAAATGAGGAGAGTTTGTTTTCAATAAAACATTAATGTCATGTTACTGGAAACATGAATAAAATGCAAATAGAACCGGAGCACAAGTGTATAATCATACCTTCTATAGCACTTAAATGAATTTCTTGTACATCGAAATGCACCTCCGAGGAAACAGTAATTGTATTTTCATTACTGGAAGTTGAGGTGGAAGCGTTATTGTTACCGTGTTTGAGTAAAGCACGCCACTGATCAATATACACTGATCGATCAGGAGATAGACTAGGAATTTCACGCTTCTGAAGAGCTTTTAGAATGCCTTGAGTTTCGCCCAGTAGGCAAGCTGCTTCCTCCACACTAGCCTCTCGTTCTTCTATGGTGCTGTTGTAGCACTTCATGAGTATAACATAAGGTAAATTGGTGAGGCACGCAACGAATATATCTGCAACCATGACGGACAAATTTTGAAACACGTGGACATCAGATTGTGAATGGGCCAAATGGCTGCTTTCTGCATAGTCCAACAGCAAAGTGCTGCTTATTTTGTACATTGAATTAGCAACTACAATATCTTCAGATAAATTAACAAGCCTTTCCGGCGTATTTCCCTCCATTTTATTTGTGAATTCCTTCAAAGTTTCCTCACTTTTGTATGCAAGAGTTTGAAGAGTTTCCACGTAGGAATTCGATAGACGTGCCACTTTTTGAAGATCTATATCTAACCACTTGTGCTCGAATTCAGCTCCAGCCCACACAAAATCTGCAGCATCCATGCTGCTCACCAATTTCTTTTGCTCGTCCAGATTTTTTTCCACAAGGCGTGCGTACTTGAAACCTTCAATCACGCTCTGTAACCACTTATTCTTCTTCCGCTGTTCAATGTTTGGAAGAGCAATCATGATACTTGTTAGGATTACTATGGGCAGAGTCCAACAATGTGGAGGTTCTTTACCAAGTATAGGTGGGACTTGATCACTCTCAAAATCCAATACCCCCTTAAAGCTGGTTGAATTCTCTAAAAGTTCTATTAGATATCTAGGATGATTAATTGCACCCATCGTTATGGACGAATTAATAGAGGTGTCAATGAACTTCAGGTATTTATCATGTATTGCCTCACCTTCAACAAGTACAACAAAGTTTCTTAGATCCTGCTCGAAACTAAGTTCCTGCGTTAATTCATTGGGATTGACTGATGCCTCATATTCCCCTAAGAGTTTCTTCTTCAGCCTCACCAGAAGTCTAATAATTTTCCTTCTCGGCCTCTTAAACAACAAGATGATCAATGGTGAAAGAAATATTAACATGAAAGAGGACATGATTGCATACCAGAGAATGGAACAGACAGCTAAAAAAATTGAGATTAGCACTAGTAATTTGTTCGTAATCACAATTACTACTTGACCTCCTATGCCAATATTGAGAAGTAGATTTCTAAGGACATGTATGATTTTTCTAACCTTTTGCCCTCGAACTTGTGAAGGTGGGGGTCTCTTTTTCCAGTTCACTAGTCTTTTAATCCCATAGGTCTGCATGTCAAATGAAATAACCGACGCAACAAATTTCCGAACATGCCTTATATTAAGAAGTAAAGCATGTAGAAATCTTATGAAAGAGGTTAGAAGGCAAAGAAACGCTGCCAACACTTGAGTCACAAAAATAAGTGTTACTGACCACTTATAATCTGAAGAATTTTTCCAACCAAGGGGGTATATGCCTGATTCAATAAACAGGAGCATAAGAAAAACATTGGAGATCAATCCAAGAATGTAGCAGGCATCAGATCGTGCCATCACAAATTGGGGACTACTAGTTGTCGCCATCACCCAGTACTTCTTCAAACGCAACTTTAACTTTTCAAAGTCAAATATTTGGTTTCCTTGCAGTTCCTCTCCTAATATTCTTCCCTGAATTGTTTTGTACTTCTGTTCCAAATACCTTTTACTAGCAGAAACCGTTAAAGCAGATGAAATAAGTATAATAAAAGTACAAAAATGTAGAAACACAATCATAGTTTGGAATACTTTCATCTTATGCTTAATCACTCCTGTGAACACTTGGATGATCACATTTACTGTAAGTGTCAGTATGAGGATACCCAAGGCTGTCAAGTTTGTCAATATTTCTCTATCATTCATGGATCCTAGAGAAGGCATAAAATGAATGGTTGAAGCGGACAACAAAGCAGTGCTACTAAATTTTGCAAACTGGTCCATGGAACCGGGCATAGATGTCGTTAAATCCATTGCCAACTTCACTGCAACAGCTATCACGGTCAAGGAAGTAGCATTTAGAGCAGAATATTTGCAAGGGAACCATAACTTTTTATGGCGGATAGAATGGATTATATCAGCAATTAATGCAACAACCCACACAAGAGATGCCGCTGCAGCGTATAGGCCTATCCATGGCATTGGTGCACTAGAGTTAACCATTGTTCAATAATTGTGATTTCTTCTTCCAGCTTCACTAACTCCGTCGGCCGGTTTTATAAGATGGGGATGCTGGAGTATTGGAAACTTCCTTGTAAATTCAACGCACCGTAATTTATAGAAAGAGTCTATAAAAACAAATGTAATCAAGACAAGTTAATGAATTCAACCAATGAAACTTCCTTGGTTGACAAGTAAATTCAACCAATCAAAACAAATGCTTTACTGCCTAACATATCAATGCACCTTAATTTGTGGCAGTTTCCATGAAAATAAATGTAATCAAGAAAATTGTTGACAAGTAAATTCCCAGCGAGCCTACTTCTCCCGTTCGTCAGAATTTGTTGGCCTCTTTTATTTCTTTTCTTTTTAGTAAATAA